ATCTAGGGAGCAACAAGAACAAGTTTTTGCGGACATTACCGAAACCCGTTCCAAACGGCAAACTATGTATGATAGAAAGTAACCCTGGTAGAAGATGGTCTACAGGGGTTTCCTACTTCTTCGACCAGAGTGTAGGTCAGTGATTCTATCTCACATTTTTTTGTACATATGCGACGATTATTGAAGAACTAGTCTCATTCAGATGCCAAGATTCAAAGCGTCTTCAAGAAAGCTACACAACAATGGATGTCTGATACATGTATCAACTTCATGCAGTCCAAATCCGGTAAAGCTTCAAATATTTGTAAACGGTAGCAGGATTCCACTGATTGTAGAAGTTTCAGCGGAAGACAGCATTCGAGTGTTTGCGGAGGACGGATGTTGGTCCTTCGTTGGTAAACGTGGTGGTGTGCAGAATCTATCTCTGGGCCAAGGCTGTGACACGGTATGATTTCGACCAGGTTTCCATAAAAACATGACAGAATCATAGAGCATGTGATGTGAAGAGAAATGTCATATTCAAACTTATTTTGTGTAGTTGACATTTGGTCTCGTTTTAGGTTGGAATCGCTGCTCACGAGATTGGTCATGCCCTCGGATTCTTCCATACGCACGCAAGATATGACCGTGACCAATTTATTACTGTCGACGAACAAAATATTAAGGTAATGCGGAAATGCTTAAATTCCCTTCAATGTAACATTGCTGGTAATTTAGCCTGATTGGCTCAACCAATTCACGCGGACGACAATCATGACAAACAACAATTATGGTTTAACGTATGACTACGGTAGCCTGATGCACTACGGATCCACAAGGTGGAGTACTTGAAGAGAGATCACTGCGAGGTGAAGGCGAGAAATCCAACGTTTTAGCGCCACTGGAAACCAAAAACCTACCATGGTACCAAAGGATGTGTTGTACACGGAGACTCTAGGATCACCCTTCATTTCTTACTACGACCTGCTTATGATTAACACGCACTATAATTGCACAGGTGAGTAGAATCTTCATGAATTTAGCGCCTTCACATGAACAGAAAGAATAGTGCTTCAGACGCATGCAAAAATAAGTACACACCATGCAAAAATCACGGGTTCGCTCATCCTCGTGATTGCTCCAAATGCATCTGCCCGAGTGGATATGGTGGCCAGTATTGTGAGAAAAGGGTAACTGACCACTTTATTGGTTGAAATAAGTAAATGCTCTGATGGATATTTTTAGCCACCAGGTTGCGGTGCAGAACTAGAAGCTACTAAAGAATGGCAAACTCTTGAGGACGATTTAGGAGACAGAAATGCTGGTCCTTACCGTGCGAGAAGATTTCAAAAAATGCAATTATTGGATCAAGGTTCGTTGTTCATAGATAGAAACTATCTTCAGTTGAAGTTATGAATAAATTCAAGGCGCCGGTCGGTAAAAAGATTGAAGTAAAATTGGTTTACTTCCCTGGCGAGTTGCCGTGGATGGATGTACGTATGCAGGAGTTGAAATCAAAACACACCCCGACCAACGTCGCACTGGTTACAGGCATGAAATTACGTCATTGAGTAGTTAGAAATTTTCGCAATGTGCAATAACTACTGAAGATTTTGTTTAGATTCTGCTCGAAAGACGACATCAACACTGTACTTAAATCTCATTCGAACCTTGTGCCAGTTATAACCTACAATCGAATCTACGCTACAGTCACCAAGTTGGAGTACCGCTACGTCTAGAGGAGATCTTCAATATTGAACACTTGTGGTTTTTTCAAATAAAGCACTCCAATCCAAAAAGATTAAGAATGCGAAGCCAAAATTCCTTTGAAGGAGCTTTATTTTCTATCACGTACAAGCAACGGTCGTGAAGACGAAACCTTTCACACCACCAAAAAACAAGAATATCTAAATGTATTCTGTAGTGATCTGTCCTTCAATGCTCGAGCAAGGGCTCCTGATACATACACAGCCAATTCATTTCCCACCACATGCGTTTCCATTCTGCAGCATCGGTAGAGGCTGTCAAGAACGCGCCAACGAACGTGAGTTTGCAATCATTGAAATTCAGATTTAGTGCACGATCTCGGTGAGAAAAATGGTCGTGTCAACACAATCCGCACCCTGAGTAAACCCCGCCTGGAGCTCTTCCATTAACACCTTATCTCCAGATTTGAAATGAAGAATGAGATATCAACAAGAGCGAGAGTGGTGCGCGCATTCAAAGAACAATGGAGTCCAGTTTATGAGAAGATTTTGTAGACGTGGTAAATTCTCAAAAGGCTGGATTAACCTGGATGCAGTCCCTTGCGGTCAACGGTTTCAAACAGATAACATGACATGGTTGAACAAAAAGGCTGGAGGTGCAGGGCCAGTCACTTCTTTTTCGACTTCCAGAAGTTAATCGACGACATATGCTAAAACCTTACCCAAAATGTTCACGAGGAAAACCAACGGCGCGCTCTAAGCGCACAATAAATTCCATGACAATCCATGAACGACACTAGAATTTTCTGCCAGGTAACATGACGCGATAGATGAACCGCGAGCGGTGGGCGAGGATACACCGAGGGCGTGAGGGCCGAAATTTCCATTATGCTTAAGAGTAGCGTAGAACCGCTGAAAAATAGGCATACGTGAACAATAGTAGCACGCATCGGTTCTGACGCAGTCTAGAAACCAAAAAGTGTTGGCACGTTTGACAGTATCTACTGTGTGAGCACCCCTGATACAGAGAAAATTCCACACACGATTGGTGAGCCGCACCCAAATGGTGTGGTGTGCAATTTACTAGGCGTTGGTTACTGCAAAGTACGAAGCTCTTCCGGATTCTTCTAAAGCCGAAAAAGGGTGTAGAGAGACAGAACGAGTAGCCAAATGCTAATAAAGGGTAGAACGTACTGGAGATAAAAGATAAAGGATAAAGGATGAAGGATAAAGCATTTGCCGTTGATCAATCCCTTTTTGGGATGCGGCACGCATTCTACTTCCATTTGTACATTCGTAGTGGCGTTTGAATGCGATGTGGCCTATACAATGACTTGCGGGGGCCAGCCGATGTACAAGTCAGTGTTTTTATCCTCCCAGACAAGTCTGGTACCAATTAACCGACCCCGGAGGGATGGAAGGCTTGGTTGGCCCGGGCGACTCACGACCCAGGATTTGATCCCCGGACCGCTCGCGTGGTAAGCGTGCCACTTGCCACTACACCACTTCCGCCCTCTGCACTAGGGAGGGCAAAGACAAAATCAAAAAATTTGGTTGTTTCTATAAAGCTGGAGCTCGTGTGATGCAGGCATCAGCTTGCAGAGTCAAACTTGCTACAGTACTCGCCGTTTGAAATCGAAAATTCACGCGAATAACGCGAATCCTCGTTAATTTCGTGAATTCGTTATAACTCGGTTCAAAATTGAGCTTTCGAGAATCCGAAGATATCTTTGAATTCAGCTCGTCGGACACTATAAGAATGTGCTTTGATACTTTGAAAAGCTCCATATAGGATTGCGCCATGCACTCGATTTTCATCCCAGAAAGTAGTTGCTCGCA